GTAGTGTTTGGTTCGAGGGATTTGGAGGGGAGGGGAGGGGAGGGGATAGAAAATTTTAGTTTTCTCTTGTTTGGTTGAAAAATTAGGAGGGGAGGGAGAGGAAAATTTTAAGTAAATTTCCCTCCCCTCCCTCACTTTACCTCCCCTCCAAAATTGGAGGGATTTGGAAGGAAAATGTGTTAAGATGATGTGAAAATACCATTTAGTCTCTACTTTCAATTGTTTTTTATTTTTTATCTTATTTCATTAAGGGTAAGTTTGTCATTTTAATTTTATTTTCCCTTCCTTTAATTTTTGAACCAAACAAGGTTTACTATTTTCCCTCCCTTCCCCTCCTGAATAATCCTTCCAAACAAGGTAAAATTATTTTACATCACCTCTCCTCCCCTCCCTTCCCCTCCATTAAAATCCCTCCCCTCCATTGAACCAAACACACCCTTAAGAGGAGAAATCCTCCTTATCACATTCCTCATACACGTTTTCCCCCCCAAGTAAATATTTTGACCAGAAGTTCTTCTCCCTTACCTCTCATCGTCACTTCAAACTAGAAGCAAAAATCCATCTCCCTTCAACCCTCACTCTTTCGACCACCATCATCCTGCCGCCGGCACGCGCACGCGAGCAGGCCCTGCGCAACACCTCTCATCGTGCGACCACTCCGCAAACAATCCTCCTCGACGACCATCCCCTGTTCGATCCACCCACAAGCAGTTCCAACGCACCATAGCACGCGTCGATCGCTGCCCTGCTCGCCGGAGATCCACCAGGCCACCCGCTAGACGCCCACACGAGCCGATCCGCGCATCGCCGCCGAGCCCATCACCTTGCCTTTGTTTCGATTGTTCAGAAAGCTTGTAGATTTGAACAGTGTACAGTAAGAGATGGATCAAACCCCCTCTGATCTTATGTAGTATGACATGATTTGTTATAGATCCAATTGAGTTTGAATTAGTTCTAAGTGTTTATTATGAGATGTATTCGATTTGCTTGATCAAGTGATGGATCTTGCCTGTTCTTGGTGAATTAATGTGGATATGGAACTCTTCTTCATGCCTTGGATCTGTTCTTCAAGGCCTTAGTCGAATTTGTTGAGATTTGGGCACCGATTTTTATTTTTGAAGCTTTAGTGTACTCAGAAACTTCGGAAAATCATATTATTTCTTTTACTCGTGCACTTTGCCAGAAATTTGGAGTGTAGGTTTCTGTTATTATACATAGCATGCTGTTAAAATCTCAGGTCCTGATTCGATCCCTAGTCTATTGAACTGAATCTTGTGCCTTGGATCGTTGAAAATTTTTATTTAATGATTGGCACCTCCATTTGATCTGAAATTTGGAGGTTATATGCTGTCAAAATTTCAAGTCTTAACCCCAACCCGAATTCCTTGAACTTAAATCCACTCTTTGCATGGCTTTTTGTCAAAAATTTGATTTATATGTTATGGTTGTTCATTATTGAGGCTCGTCTTTGGCAATCTGGTCCTTTTGTGAGTTGTTTATATCATGTTAAAATTTCATTCCAATCGCCCGAGCCAAACTCCAAAAGTCTCAGTCGAGATTTGCAGCTGCTGGTGGCCTCAGGCCGAAGCCAACGCTATTGGCAGGCATCCAGCACGTGGGCAGGAATGCCGCACGCGACGCGCAGCAGTGGCGCGTGCGCGTGCGAAGGCCCGCAATGTGGTGCTGAGACCCGCAGCAGCTGCCTATGTTGTAGCCGTCGCCTAGTATCGCCCCGCACGTCTCTCCGAACCACCACCGTGAGTCCCAGTATCGCCTGCGTAACTCCTCGCACCACCCACAGCCCCAACACGTCCCGGTAGCATGCCTGCACGCCCAGGCGACGCCAGCAGCCAACAACCGGCCCTTAGACGCGCCCAACGCCACCCGCGGCCTGGCAGCCGCAGCCCCGACCGCGCCCGTGCGCGCCCAGTGGTGACCTGCGGCCGACCCGCTCCCGTGCTAAGCCCACGACCCCGATGTTTGATTTCTCTGAACCGTTTGACCTATTTTCGAACCGTTGACCTCGTTTTCCGTGTCAAACTTGTTAGTGTTATGTAATAAAAGTTTGCTTTGGATGATATTACACTTTTGCCCTTTATGAATGAGAACTCTGTTCGATTAAACAAGTTCTATGTTCTGTTGTTTTGCACTTAGATAGAATGGGTCATCATTGGGTGAACAGAAGATGATTCTATCAGTTACTTGCGAAATAAGAATTGTAGTTCACAACCTAGATGGAAATGAACACCCTATCAGAATGGTTGTATGTCAACGGTACAGTTGGTCTTGACTAATTAGTTGCACTAATACATTTATGTATTGAACAGGATCGCAGAAAGGAGAAGTTCGTTTTATACTGATTCTCATAAACGAACTATGCCTCGGTTAAATACTGCGTTCTCTCAAACCATAAGATATTAAACAGAAATATACATGCAATATTTATTACTTTGATTCACTTGGGCGAGATTCAGTTCGCTGGATTAATAGTCTTACTGTCTTGGGTAATAGTGTTGTATGTATGATGTGCTGTTAGGATATTTACGGTCACCATGTGTGTTAGTTTGATGGTATCCTAGAAGTGAGTTCATGAAGATTGTTAGGCTAAACCCTGCAGGTGGATTAAATTCCGGCATAATAATAATGTGATGAATGAGCGCTAGTTTTGTTAATATAATATATTAATCAATACTTGATTATCAGTAATCGAATTAATTAATGGACATTATATCTTAAACATGAGGAGGTAATTCAGATAATTATTATTGGAGTCTCAAATGTAATTTGGGATAGGAAAAGGGAGTGCAATAATATTATATTAGTGGAGCATAATATTATTTAAGTAATTGGAGGAGTAGGCCTGACCCATAGTTAGTCCGTTACTTAAGAAACCATAATCCTATTCTCCAAAAGATCTCTACTCTAGCTCTATATATACATCATTAAGCTTATGAGAAGAGAACAAATTTATTCATACATGAGTTATACTTGCACGCACCATACTCTCTCTTTAGATCTTATTCGAGCTTTATCTTCTTCTCGTTGCTCCACCGATACGAGTTGAAGAGGTGTTTGAGTAATACAGTTAAAGATCCCGAGGTAATCGAGACATCGCGATCATGTACCGACACCGACGAGCCACGACCCGCCGATTCCGATTAACCAGACGACCGTCGCGACGAGCCGAGCCCGAAGACGGCAGCTCGCGATCCGACCAGCGACCACCGCAACTCCACGGCCCCGATCCCGCCTCCGTTCACGATCCCGACATCCCCGTGGCGTGCTGCTCCCAGTCATCCCGAATCTGTCAGATTCAGAAAATTTTAAGCTGTAAGTTTTCTACGTTAAACCTTTAGATCCATTGCGCATAGGTTTACGTTAGCTATTGAATTCGTGACTTGTACATAACGAGATCCTCATATATCCCAACAAAACCCAGTTTTAGTCTTTTAAATGATTTTTCCAAATATTTTCTTTAAATCCAAAAGTTCTGAATTCCACAAAATTCCACGAACTATTTAGTCGATAATTTTCGACTAAGTATGAATTCTCGTGAATTTTTTTAAGTGTCAAGATAATATATTTATGAGGATTATCTTTATTAAATGTAGGTATTTCAGGAGTTGATACCTCGACCTACTTCCGGCTGATTGTGTGCTATTGCCTACCTGATTTCCACATGGGCGTTGATAAACTTACTGTGCCATAATTCATTATAATTGCTAGATTTTATGATCAATGTATATATATGAACCAAGACCCTACCGTTGGATCCGGGTTCGGCCATCGATATAGTATCCCCGTCGGCGGATGCGGTTTCGACCGTCGATGATGCCTAATGAGAGGTAATCTCTCTTAGCCTAATAACATACATGTCTCTAGATGCGGATTCGACCATTGACATGTGCTCCCCTTGTTGGATGCGGTTTCAACCTTCAATGGTTATATAGGTGTACACTGGAGCATTAGAAGATGTGATATTTGTTGTTGATTCATGTTCATGCTGCGACCCAACTATCTGTTATTATATTGAATTTATGTGCGTAGTATTCCCATGGTGAGCTAGTGGTTTGCTCACCCCCATGTCCCACCTTTCAGGTGAAGCAAGTGTCATGACGAGACGGACGAGTGGTGGATCATTTTATAGGCTTATTGCTTATGTTTATGTTTGAACTGCTTCCGCTATGACTTATGTATTATTTCTCAAAACCCATGTTGAACGTTTTGAATCATGTTATGAACTTGTGGGATTATTGATTATGATTATGATTATGAGTATGATTTGATTATTTATGTCGCATGCGATATATGTGTTTGGGCAATGAGTTCCCATATGATTATTTGGGCAATGAGTTCCCGAAGGCTCAGATATGACTTGAGCTATATTGTGAAAATGTTTGAGTAACGCCATTCAAAGTTTGAAATTGAAAAATGAATTTCGAAAAATTAACCTTGATTTTTTGGGAAAGTCCAAAATTTTCTTTAAAAATCAACGGGGCGTTACAGCGACAGCTGGCATAGGTGCCTTCCAAGCCTTCTTAGCATACCTCCTCTTCTTCTTCAAACTTTTGGATCTAGAAGTCGAAAGACTAGCGTGCTCGGCCACAAGCGCATGAAAATTCATCAAAAAGGTCCCTTCACCGCTTGGAGTTCCCCGAGACGTTCCACTAACGTTAGCAACATCTTGTGCATGTTGTAGTTCAGGCAAAACTGGTCAAAACCCTTAGGCAGTGAATTATGGATAATATCAACCTGGGTTTCCCCATCGATTTGTCCTCCTAGGATCTCCAGTTCATTGAACTGGTCCATTAGCCTAAGGACATGATCCCTTAGGGGAGTGCCCCCTACTATTGAAATCGATATTTGAATGTTCATTGCCTACTGTCGAACTACCCTAGACTGATGCCCAAACAGATCCTTGAGATTCATAAGCATCTCATAAGCGGTACCCATGGCCTGATGTTGGTGCCGCAGCACATTGGTCATAGAGGCCAAAAAGTAGCAGCGTGCCATCTCATCTGCCTTGATCCACTTTTGATATGCCTCTTTCTCATGATTCGGGGCACTATCGGCCGGGAGATCCGGACAGACCTCAGTGAGCACGAAATTTTACCCCCTCTTCTGTCAGCACTATGTATAAGTTCCTCCTCCAATCAATGTAATTGGGACTAGTAAGTTTGTTTTCTTTTAGAATGACATACTGCAGATTGAAAGACATGTTGAATATAGCCTGAGAATCATGACAAATTTTACTGATTAAACATTGAATTTAACTTGTTAATATTGATATCCTCAAAACAACATTAACTTAAACTCACTGATGTCTCATTACACCGAGAGTCTGCGCAGACCACGTTGGGTGACTCTACGCTCGCTCAACATTTGTAAGAGAAGGGTGTTGCAAATACCCATTAACTTTCATAAGCCAAAACCTAATACATGGCGAATAAAATTAATAGTCGGTTTCCTTTTTGCCACATAATAAAAGTCCATCAACTTCGTTGGGAGGAATTATTTTATTACTTTCTAAGTGAAAACATTACCTAATCCTAAGGAGATTATTATTTGATTGTATGTCCGCCGTTGGGGAGGTCCACACGCTCAATAATAATTCCTACAATTATCTTTCGAAATTCGTTCTAGTGATCTTACAGTTACTTTTAACCAAGGTTGTCAAAACCGAACCGGACCAGCCGGTTCAACCGGGAACCGGCCAGTATACCGGTTCGGTTAAAGATATAAAACCGCATAGCCCATAAACCGTTTACAAACCGTTCAACCCAGTAAAACCGGGAAACCAAAAACGGTTTGCTGGCCCAAACGGTTTTTAATTTTGTACTTAAATTTTGAACTTTATGTTAGATATTCGGACTTGGAATTCCAAAATAAGCCCAACCATATACTTTCAAGGCCCATGAACTTTTAATTTTCTATTAAAAGCTCACCCACCACAGGTTTTTTGAGGTAGAAGGCCGGCTAGATGACAGGTTATTTCGCTTCATTTTATAGCCAATCTCTCTTTCATTTTACCTTTCTCAAGCGATGTGGGACCACATATACCAAACAGATTATGTGGCTTAGAATCTTTGACGAGAAATTGCACTAACATCCTGCTTGAATGTTTTTTATTCCAAACGAGATTATGTGGCTTATATTTTTTATTTCTTTACATTTCTACCACTCAACTAAAAAAAAAAACATATTAAGATAATAGAGGAATATAAGTTATATTAGTTAATTTAAGTGTTTGAATGTTCTAAAGTATCTTAATAATTAATTAATGAAGCTTTTATACATAAATTTTATTACATAAAATATTATATATGTTTAAAAATATTAATAAATTAATTACCGGTCCAACCGGTTCAACCACTGGTCGGACCAGTGAACCATTGAACCAGTAGCTTGACCGGTTCGATGACCGGTCCGGTTTTGACAACCTTGCTTTTAACAATGTCCGCTATTGGGGAGGTCCATGTTGCAATTAATTGCATCACCACAAATCGATAATGGAGGACTTAGGAATGTTTTAAAATTTATTTTTAATTTTAAAATTCCTTCTCAAATTAGTAATTAAATAAGGATTTTTAATTTTTGCAATCTATATATATATAATAAGAATTAACATTTACCATAAATAGTAGTAAAGAAAAGTCAACCACATTTATTATATATTATTTTCAGCAACTTTTACATTTTACATTTTAATTTTAATTCATTGGATGGTTCCTAAATTAATGGGTTTTAAATCCACGTATCATGTTTCAAAAATTATAAATCATTTAAAATCGGAGAGTTCATAAATTAATGGTTATAAACTATTCAAAGTTGTAATCTTTATGGCATCTTTTCTTTTTGACTTTTAATAATAAAATTGTTTTAAATATATTCTAATCCAAAAATTCAATCATATTAAATATATATATATATTAAACGCTACAAATATTTTTTAAATTGCATACCCAATCAATTAATCTTAATTTTTTTAAAATCACTATGTTTATTTAAAGAAAATAAGGAAATTACTTTGGATCAATCGGGTGATTGAATTAGGGTACTGCCCACTTTGATTGAATTACTTTTAGGTGATATTTAAAATAGTCAAAAAAACTTGACATAACTTGGTTGGTCCGAGGTAATTAAGTTATGTATCAGTTTGACCAGACCAAATTGATTATTGAACCTAAATATAAATTTTAATATTGAAAATACTTTATTACGTGAATGTGATGTAGTCCAAACTTCAAATAATCATATTAACAATACTTTTATGACAACATGATTAATGATTTATGAATATTTATGTATCATTTTATTATTATTTATGTGAACAAAATATTTATTTCATTATCATTTTTATTAATGTACGGTAAATATAAGGTTTTCAGAATCGGACCGTCTTGTGGTTGTTCAGATTTTAAGACATAATACTTTAATATATATATATATATATATATATAGTACTTCTTGTAATAAATTTAAATAAAAAGTGTTACTTAAATATCTAAACAATTTATAAATTCAAAAATTTAAATTAATTGATAAAAAATTTATAAATCTCTGTTTTATTTAAATATGTAATTTTATTTAAAATAATTTTTCATGTAACAAAATTTGTTTAGAAAATTGTATCAATCTTACCAGTCCAACATACTGGTGTTGGCGGATTCGATAGCAAATATTTTATTCAAGCGCACTAAATCGGTTATAAACCAGTTCTCGGTCCATCCGGTCGGACTGTGTCCAACCCAGTTTAATTTATAAATAATGGGTAAATCATGATTAATGTTATTTATTTATTTAATTTATAATACAATCAAAATATTATTTTCCCGTGCATCGCACGGGCCACGCACTAGTTTCTAATTAATCACATGCATAAATACAATTAAATTAATTAGTATGCAAATATGTACATAATAAATATGGTAATTAAATCCACTATTATGGCTACCATTAAAAGATCCTAGTGGGTAAGAAAAGAATCAGATCAAATCCACTGATTAGGACATTAATGTTGAAAATTTTGCAACCATTAAAGAGTCTTAGTGGCAATTAAATCCACTATTATGGCCACCATTAAAGAATCAGATCGAATCTAATGAATTAGATCTTAACCCAGCAGAATCTATAGTTAGGATTAAAACATTACCGTATAAAATTTTGCCGACTCTAAGATACTGTAGATTTCCTCAGTAGGAAATCGTTTGTACCGCAGAGTTTGTTAGGAAGCCAAACTAGGCCTACTCGGCTGATCGTGGGTCACCGGGAGTTGATGCACATCGGGCGCGGTCTGTGTGCGTACACGTCAGGTGCTGGGGGTTCACTGGTCTCGGGTCTTTAAGCGGGTCGCGCGTCGGGCGCTGCAATCGACAGACGTGCATGCGTGTTGTCGGACGTGCACGTCTGCATGCTGGTGTGCAGCGTCCGGTGCGCGCGGGTATACTTCGCGTCGGGCGCTGGCTACCAGCATGTGATGCGTGCGTGCAGGGATGGCGAACGGGTGTTGCGTGTGCTGCTGGCGTCTGAGGTCTTCGGGCGTGCACAACAATGCACCTGGAACTGTCGGGTTGCAACACGCAATGAAACACGGGCAAAGGGCGGCACGCAAACAATGATTGGGCGTCGATGTGCTGCACGGGGTTGCATGAACATGAAGCAGGCGTTGCTGGGAGGCTCATTGCGTCGCTGGAAAACGCGAGGCAACGTGCGGCTGGGACAGATCGCCAGCAATGCGTGTGGCAGCGATGGGTTTGAACACGACATGGTTTTCTGGTGGCTTCTTGGTTCGCCGGAATAAATTCGATGATAATTAATTCGTCGGGGTGCTCGAAATATATGGGACCTTAAGATATTCTAATATATGACATTATACTCCTACTTCAAATAAGATTGGTGGTGCGATTAACCAAAACTCCCGAACTCTCAAGATGTATGTAATGCACGATTTTTCTCTTTTTTTTTCAGGACCTAAAATTGGCTGACACGTGTGTAAGAGAGGTTGGGATATGGTGTATTTATATGCTACATTAGGAACTATAAAGAGGTGCTAAATATGGGCATTTCCAATTTGGGTTAAGAAACCTTATATTCTCCAACTCCTTTCCCTTCTAGAAGCCCTAATTCCTTCAAATTTAATTATCCCTTCTAGAAGATTCCCAAGTCTTCTGACCTTTGATAATATTCTAGAAGAAATTATATAGTTCTAATTAGGTATTAATAATAGAGAATGAAATAATTCCTATCTCCTAATTGAATTAAATAATAAAACATTCAACTAGAGTAATATTATTGCTCTCCCCATTTAGCTCCAATTTATTCAATAAATTCGAATGTCCTACTTAATAAATATTAATTTAATTAATTGATTTACCATCTCTATGTTTAAAATATAACGTCCATTGATTAATTAAATTACTAACAATAAAATTAATCAATTTCTTTTATCCCGCAGGATTCAAAATTAGTACCACTCAGTTCCTTAATCATTATGTTGGAATTTAATTCACCTGTAGGGCTTAACATAATATTCATTCTTGAGCTCATTTCGAGGATGTCATCAACCCGGCGTACCGGGACATAGTGACCGTAAACAATTCAACAACACATCATATAAACAATATCATTTACTAAAATATCGAGTTTGTCATCCTTATAAAATAGGAATCACCCTAAGAAAATCAAATAAACAAGTATTGAGTATATATTCCCCTTTAGTATCTTATGGCTTAAGAGTACGCATCAATTACTGAGGTCTAGATTATTTAGCCGATCAATATTCAAATAATCTTATCATTCCGCGGTACATTCAATACTTACAAAAGTACTAGTGTAATTCATTACTACGGTCTTTTATCAACAGATTGTTCAACAGTGTCTAGACTGAATATATAATTATATTTTACATGGAATTGACAGTATGATGTTTCTATTCGACACCTCGAACCATACTACCTACATTGTAAAATAAAGAAACTTATGCTCGCACAATTGAACAAACTGCAAACATAAATACTTGATTAAAACATGATTGCCATATCAAAATGGTATTGCTAGTTAACTCAAAGTCGAGCTTTTACAGTATACTCTAACAATTCCAGTGTTCATAATGGACTGTTTTAAACTTCCAGTTTAAGTGGGGAAAGACAGCGCTAGACTCTGTGCTCAATTTTTGTGAAGTAAAGAGGAGAATCAGAACAAGGGAACTCACTAGAATTTTGAAACACCTAAGCATTTTAAAGAGTGAAGGTGGGTTGGGATTTCAAGATATCAGGCTCTTCAATGAAGCTCTAGTGTACAAACAACTCTGGAGGACAAAGACTTAGCCCAACTTATTGGTAAGCAGAATTCTGAAAAGCAGGTACTTTCCCTCTTGTTCCATTTTCAAGGTTGTTAAAACTTAAAGTAATTCATGGCTGTGGAATAGCTGGGTGGATGTTTTGCCTTTGTTTGTCAATGGGTTTAGAATTGAGATCAGAAATGGAAAAAACCACTAAAATTGATGACAATTTCTTCCACACCTTCGCCAAGCTCGAGTTTCTGTAGAGCAGTCTCGAGGGTGGGCTCCCACCACGGGTGATCAAGTGGAAGATTTGAATCCCTGGACCAACCGTTAGGATCGGGGAGATTCAGAATCAGGTCAGCTTCGTTGTAGCTCTCCGCATTCCCGTTGGCCCGAGTTTGTTCCAGAGCTCGGGTAGCACTGATCAGTAGTTACTTCTTGGCGGCCGGACAGAGCTTCGTGAGAAATGGCATGGACTCGTGATAAATGACGAGCAGCTCTTTCCATAAGACATTCAGAAATCGAGCTCCGGATGGAGAGTTTTGGAAGCTCTCGCGCGTCTCCTGCCGAGCAGACGTTTCCTTGACAGCTGCTTCTTGAGCGAGCAGTTCAAGGTCGGCTCGCAGGGCATCGACCTGTTTCTGATGACGAGCAGAATCAGAAGCCCGAGAGAGCTCTAAGGATTTGATCTGCTTGGCTTGGCGGGCTATCTTGGGTTTTGCAGCGTCAAGCTCAACTTGCAGCATCCCGGCCCTTGAAGTCTTGACACCATATGCCTTCTTCAACTGATGATGCTTGACCGAGGAGGGAGCCTCCCCCGCAATAGCCATATGGAAGAGGTTTGCAAGTCCCGAGCTAAACTGTATATATATCAAACGGATACAGATTTAGCTCCAACTTTCAATAGGAATGAGCATGCAAACTTAAAGGCAAAAATTAGAAATTTACCACAGCAAAGTGTTTCATGCAATACTTAGCTCGTATTTGGTTATCTCCTCCCCAACGGTCGGCTTCATTTCCCGGAAAGATGGAGAGCAGATAGGAGGATTGCACGGAGGGGTGCTTGTGGGTAGCAAAGGTGGCGGGGTATCAAATTAAGGTGCAGGCTTGCTCGAGAGGAGTAGTCTTTTGGGAGGAGCTATCCACCTTGCTTGGCGCTTTGCGTTTGCGCGAGCCCAGTATAATGTTCTTCAAGAGCTGGCCACCCAAGCTGAGAACAGGGGAAGGAGGACAGTGTGACGAGCTGGTGCTGGCAGTGTTAGCACGAGCTCTCTTCTTGGGCTCGGTCGGTTTCGTGGAGATAGCACCCGACATGAGTTTTTCTGCAAAATAAGACAAGGTCATAAGCAAACATGTCCGAGCCTAATAGAATTATGTATAAATAAAATACAACAGGTAAATAGCTAAACCTAAATCAAAGAGGGCGACCTTCTTATAGGTTAACCATAAAGAAAACGAAGCTCGTCGGGAGAGGTGAGTTTTTCTGTGTTGTAGGGGACTTTGTTCCACTCGATCACGAGCTCGTCCTCTGAGCTACTTTCCTGGGCCGCCGTTTTTTAGGAACGTCAGTGAGCCATTCCGAGCTGAAGTTGAAAGTACCTTTGGGTGGTTTGAGAAAGAAGAAATGGGTTTTCCAGTGGTTGATCTTAGTAGAAAGCTCCCTAAGGAAATAGGCTCGGTTTCGGGCACTAAGGTAATATGACCCGCCTTGATGTTCTTTAAGGCCATACCAATAAAAATGAATTTGGGGTCTAATTTTTTAAAGTTATAATGGCTAAGTATAGTATAGCCTACTAAGAGACAGATAGTATTAGAGGTGAGATTGTTAATAGGGAAATCATATAGCTCGGTTAGAGCGAGCAAGTCAGGGCGGATGGGAAACCTAAGACCAATGACTACTTGATCGACAAAAAATGTATAGAAACCACAGGGAGGCTGGCTATACGAGCTACCCGGAGAAGGTGCCTGAAACACCCAATCAGGTGGGAGCTCGCACAATCTCATAAAGGCTTTGATTTGAGGCTCTTCGGCGTAAAAGAAAGGGTTAGGCCGGGCAACTACTACAGCATCAGAGGCTAACTCTATGGTAGGATTAATGGGGTGCTCGACATCTACAGTTATGTTCGCTTGCCGAGCACGTATCTCGGATGAAGGCAAAGAGATGCCTTGAGGAGTGTCATATAATAAGAAAAGCAGCTATTATCTACTATCGGAGTTAGAGAGTCCTAAGGAACATCTCCCTCGACTTCATCACAAAGTTGTAAGGTGGATCTAACTCTCGACTTTGTTCTCTGTTCGTGTCGGGTACTCACTCTGCTAATTGGTATGATAACCAGAGAACTTCCTTCTGCAGTTCAGTGATCCTTCGTACTCCGCTTAGTCCTCTGATGGTTGGAAAGACCGATCTTTTAGGCCCCATCTTTTAATACCTCATGGGGGTGTAGCCCGGGTAGCAGTATTAGGGTGAGCAACGAGCTCTTCAGACAAAGAGCTCAAGTTAGGATCAAAATGCTCGGATTCTGAGGATACAGGTACAACTTCAATAGAGTTGGGATCTAAAAAAAACAAAACAAAACAAAAAACAACAATAAATTAGAGTCGACGGAGATCCAGTAGCAGGAAAATATGGTTGCCGGCAAATACTTCGATCAGGGAATGGAAAAAAAAAAAATGAAATGAAATGAAAAACGAAGGAAAAAGTAAAGAAGAACTTAAGCATGATAATCGAAGTGGGCGGAAAATGGAAGAGAACATGGATATAGCACGTTGGCGCCGAAGAAGTGAGGAGAAATCGCCGGTAAGAATGGTGGTCAAGTTGAAGGATGTTTTTGCTAAGTTGAGTTTTAAAATCGGAGGCGCAAGAAGTGTTGATGAGGGAGAAAAGGCCTATTTATAACCATGGAAAATCATCTCAGCCATTGGATTCAAAGGAATCCAAGGGCTAAGAAATAAACCCTAGGTGTAGAACCCAAAGCAATGTCATTAATAGTAGATGAAAGGACGGGTGCAACACTCGAGACGCGTCTTTTCAGAAGAGCTCGGACAACGCGTTATGACAGGAGCTCGAAACCTTTGCAGTTGTTATTGTTCTAATTATCAAACGAGTCCATGAAGCTCGGAAAGCTATGACTCTTTTGAT